CCTTTCTAACTCTTTCACAACTGTCCCCCCAGGACCAGGAGTCATGCTTGGCTCATAGTGGGAGCAAGAAAGGTCTGCACAATGAATGAATGTGTGAATGGATGATCTCACCCTGGCTGGATCCAATGTGATTTGACAGAGTGTATGGTTGTATGTAAAGGAGGCAGGGTGGTTATATATTGGGCTGCTAACTGCAAGGTCAGCAATTCGAAATCACCAACCACTCTGTAGGAAAAAGACGGGGCTCTCTATCCCCTGAAAGGGCTACAGCCTGAGAAACTCACATGGTCCATCTCGTAGGGCCACCATGAGTGAGCATAGACTCGATGGCAGGGCGATTTAGAGTTTATGGTAGTATGCATGTGGCTCTGTAGGTTAGGTGTTAGAATGTTAACCGCAAGGTTGCCGGTTCAAGCCCACAAGCTGTTCCTCAGGACAAAAGTGAGGCTATCTGCCCCTGTAAGGATTTACGACGCCTCAGAAATCTGTTAAGAGTCGTATTGAGTCAGAAGCGACAGTGAGTTTGGCGTTCGGGGCCTTTATGATTGTGTGTACAATGAAACGTCTTTTATTTCTGGGCTCTCCCAAAGCCCACACAGGGCCCTCACATCCATGTGAAAACTGTACGGCTTTCCTGTGACATTCCATTTTGGAGGTGAGGAAATGCCCTAAGCGTTTTTATCACTCATCTAGCACACCTTGACTGAGCCCGCATGATGTGTGGGGTCTGTGCTGAATTCTGGTGACACGGCAATGAATACATGGACGGGAACTCACCTACCCTGGCAGAGCCAACCTGAAACGAGCCCATGCTTTGGAGTCAGGAAGACCTTAATCCATTCCTGCCCCGCCACATACTGCAGCTCTGTAAAATGGGGTGAACAGGCTCACGAGGCCGGTGGGAGGATCCTGAGATGATGAATGGAGGGTACTTGACAGGAGGAAGGAATGAGTGAACATTACCTGCCTTCCGCCTCCCGTGTGATGAAAAGCCCCGTGGTGCCCTTTAGAGGCTTTGAAGTGGCTTCACCATACACAGCCACATGTGAGGGCTCCGACCAGATGGCACCGTGCTGGTTTAAAAGGAAAAATGTGCGAGGAATTCAGGCTCTTGGTCTCCCGGCGATTTGCAGCCGCTTTGTCACCCCTCCCGTGCTGCTCCTCGTCAGTCAGGATAGCTCTCCACAGAGAGTCGGTGCCTGTGGTTCAGGCTCTAGTGTGTGCTCCTGAGCTGATTCATCACCAATGTCCACAGCGCCGGGCAAGGAGGAGGGCAAGGGGCACCATGTTGTGCAGGTTGAGCATGTCAGGGGCAGGGTGGGTCCCTCAGGTCCCTGTGACACAGAGCAGGTTCCCCACCACTCAGGCTACTGGCCATCAGAAAGCTTCTCCGTGAAACAAGGTAACATGGCAGGAGCTCCTGGTAACCTAAGCATGCCAAAGACGGGCATCTCCTACAGCCACACAACTGGGGCACAACGTTTCCCATCCAAGGAGGCATAGCACCTGCTTTGGAATGCGATGGCGCCTTCTGCCACTTGTCCGACCTGCCGCACTTGTCCTCTCCTGAAAGGAATCCTCCAGCACGCTCTGTCCCAGGAGGCACACACTCAATTTACTAAGCAACTCCACTCTGAGCACGGTCAGTGACCAAAGGCACGTTACGAGCCAAAGGGCATGTAGCTGGTTTCCCAAACTTTAGCCAGGAGGGCTTGCTGTGGATCAGGCAGACATGTCTAGGCACAGCAATCACGCCCGGTCAGGGTCAAGAATGCCATTGATCTACATACTCCACATAGTTTGTCTGGACCCAATGCAGCCACAGCAGCTGCTGTTACAATAAGAGTAGGTGGTACAGTTGGTTTGTACTTTACCACCCACTGAAAGGTTGGCAGTTAGAATCCACCTGGACATGCCATGGACCAAACCCACTGCCCTCAAGTGGATTCCAACTCATAGCGACCCTGTCTAGGGTCCCCAAGGGTGTATGTTTTTATGGCAACAAAGTGCCTATTTTTCTCCCTTGGAGCAGCTGATGGGTTTGAACTGCTAACCCGTGGTTAGCAGCCCAAAGCTTACCCAGCAGCCTTTGGGAGTGAGGGTCTACCCTGACTCACATGGTATCCTACTGAGTTGGAATCAATTACATGGGATGGTTTTCTATGTTCTAAGCTTTATACAAGTTAACTAATTTAATCTTCTTACCCAGACTGCATGAACCTCGCCACCGTTGGGTAGGACATACTTTTATTCCCTTTTATAAATGAGGGACCGGGGCCAAGGTTATGCAACTGGTGAGCAGTAGAGATGGGCTTTGAACTCAGGCAGTCTGGCTCCTAGGTCCCCATTCTTGTCCTCTCACTCCTGGCAGAACCAGGTGTAGGAGCTCCTGGAAGCACGACCTGATTTGCCCTGCTCACTGCTGTATGCCAACACCCAGCGCAGTGCCCAGAACGTGGTGACTGCAAGAACAGAATGCTCACCTTCGCTCTCCCGAAGAGTGCTCCCAATGACAACTCAGGGCCACCTGACACAGCGCTGCGCTCAGACTTTAGAGTCCTTGTTTTTCCTGACACCATAGCCTCCCACCTCCAGACCTGGATTCACCATGCAGACAGCACCAATTCCATCCGAGAATGAGATCTGTTATATAACCTCAGGGCGGGCGCGGGGTGAATGGACGAGCAACCTGGGAATGGCATTTGGCTACTCTCGGGAAACAGAGGGCAAACAGGAAGAACTTTTCATCTCCCAGTGAGCTCCCCTCAGCAGGCAAACTTTCCTTCATCTCCTTCCTTGGTGCTTTCTGTATATATATTTTTTTATTTTGGTCGTGCACATTATTTGAAGTTACTATAGCAACGTGTCACCAGCTGGTATCGCATAGTAATGCTGGCATTTAGGCAGCAAGCTCTCGAAGTTGGCTTTTTCTCTCCCTCTGCGATTCTATCATTCCTACTAATCTCAGGTGAATGGGGGGCCGCCTCGGCAGAAGCCATGCCCCTCTCCCCCATGTGGTGTGCGTTCCAGGGCAGGGCCAACGGATGGACTCTCTTTGGTTCATTGCAGCGATGTGGATGGTGTGTGTCGGTGTGTTTGAAGTCAGGGCTGGGCACCGCAACTGTTGGCACCTTAGCTCCCAGAGCGTAACCATTCGATCAGCATTCTGGAAGGATTTAGGGAAGGCTGCCTCCTGGGGGTGCCCACCTCGTACCCCAGCTCACTCATGTGGGGGTCACACAGTACTGGGGCGTGCTTCTTCTCTCTGGCCTTCACAGTTCAGAGCCCCCGCTTTCCTCTCGGGCTCCCTCTGTCCTGGTGGGCCGAATTAGTGAAGAGGATTGATTGTCACGCCTTCACTGAAGAGCGTTCCAGACAGCAAATAAGCCCTGCCACTCAAGGTGTTAAGTAGCCCCTCGTCAGCCGAGTGCCTCCGATGATGGCACTTATTTTTACACGTTTGACCTAATTTCAAACCCGGTCTCTTCACGCTGCGATTCATTAGCTGCATTTTCAGCCACCCTGAACAGAGCCTGGGTGACTTTGCCTGGCTTGTGCCGGTGTCTCAGACACGATTTCTCTCTGGAATTAATATGCAGGGCCCCCTAGCATTCTGTGTTTGAAGAAGCCCTTTCCCGTGCCAGTACCTGGCACGCTGCTAGGGTATGGATGAGTGCTTGCCTTAAGACTCGCCCATAGATAGATGTTGATTAGGAGCCCCCCACCCCCATGGGAAAGAGGGGGATTCTCACTAACCTACGCTGCAGGGGCTCCCTCCACAGGGGCTCCGTTCGCCCATGTAGTATTCTGCAGGCTTTCCCCTGCTGCTGGCAGAAATTGGAGTTTGGGTTGCTACACTGTAAAGTTTTGAGCAGGGGCAACATACGGAGTATGTCAGTTGCTAGGGCAAATAGCAGCACTGATCACCAACACCGCCCCCTCCCCCCTCCATTCCTATTTCTCTTTCTACACATTTACAACATGGTGGCTGTGCAAGTCAGGAGAGAACTTCTCAAGGTAGCGGCAGACGGCCAGGATGGGGCAGGCCATTTTGAGGGCCCTCAGGGAACAGGGTCAGGCTTGAGAAGTATCCTGTCGCTTCATCCTTCTATCGTTGTGTGTGTGTGAGAGAGGGTTTCTTTCTTTTATTGTATTGTATTTTAATTAACCGACAGAGCGGATGGAGCTTTTTCCAAATACGAGCCTGCTGCTGGTATCTCAGTCCATTTTACAAATCTGTCCATCATATTGGCTGGTTTCTGACAGATCCAATATTCAATACCAAAAGGGGCTGCCCACTGTCCTAGGGAAGAAATGATGCCCCCCGCCCCCTTGACTGGAAGTCAAACACTGTCCTTTCCCATTAACAGCCCTGTGTAGGTAACTTGTCCAAACTTCAGTCACATTACACTACAAATGGAACTGAAAGGCACCCAGCTGGCTTTGCCTATCTGGTGGTGAGAATGGAGACATTAACAAGCTGGTGAAAGTAATCTGAATTGATCCATGAACTATACCACAGTGCCCAACCCCTTATGACAAAGATGATGGTTTCTCTCTGAAAATGATCACTCTCTGGAAATGGGGACAGGAAACCCTCCCCCATTCCAACCCCCTTTTTTCTCCTCCTTTTAAAATGAAACATGGAAGTTTCTCTCAAGAAGGTTTAACAGCAGGCATCCTTTTGCAAGATAATACCCAGCAACTTGAGCTCTGAGATTTGCTTTTTGATTTCCCCCTGCCCCCCACCCCCACCTCACCCCTTCAAATTCAAATCGAGCCACTGGAAATAACAAGCCATCCATATCTATGCATTTGGGGCATCCTGCAGTTCCAGACAATCACAGCTTTACACACACCCACACACACACTTACACCCGGGAGCACTGACCTCCCGGAAACCAAAGCTTTAAAAGTAAAGTATTGTCCAAGAGAACACTACATTTTCCCTTCAGCAGCTCCTTCATCGCAAGAAAATCAAACCTACACGGATCTCTTACCTGGAAGCAGTGGAATTACCTGCAGAAGATGACTCCTCCTTTCCTGGCAAACCAAGTCAGGCTCTGACCGGCAGCGGAATTACTCCAAAAGAGGGAAGAATAAGTCCTTTCCGTTGTGATGTTCACTGTTTATATGCAAGAAGTGTAGTGGGTCTGCTCACGTAGGAATAAATAAAAAAGCCGAACAAACTGCACAGCAGCTACTATGTGAAAAGAAAAGACCTCTAGTGGCCGCCGGCTGAATTTTTTTTTAAAGGAAGGGCGAGAAGAGAGGGAGGTGAGAAGCATGGATAGTGTGCGTCCATGCACTCACACCCCTCACATCTTCACGGGGCTCTTCTCCCCATCCAGCCTGGCGGGGGGGCGGGGGGCCGGGAGCGCGGCACACAGCAACATGGATGAGTTCTCAGTGGGAGCTGTACACGAGCAGTGGCAAAGGCCGAGAACTCCCTCCGAGTGGGACCTTGCTAAGTTAGCAGTGATGCTAATGCTGTCTGGTAGGAAAAGGAGAGACTGTTTTACAAACTCACTTCCACCCCCTGGGGGCCGGAACCAGAGAGAGGATTCTACTCCCTGATCTCCTCCGAGGCAGAGGCTGCAGATCCGTGCACCCGTGTTGCTGGCGGTTGCTCCTGAGAGCCCAGCTCCACCTCCTGTCCCAACTGGGCATGTTTTCCTGAACGTCCGCGGTGTGTGATGTGAGTCTGGTGGCCCCGGCAGGCAGCGGGCCTGACCTGTGCAGGTGCAAAGGGTCTCATGTGTGGATTCATCCTCTGCTGCTGTCCACTTGTAAGGGCCCAGCTTTTTCATTTCGCACTCAAAACCAATCCAACAAACCTAAAACCTCACTGCTGCCGAGTTGATGGCGACTCACAGCACATCTATAGGGCAGAGTAGAACTGCCTTTGCAGGGAGTAGAAAAGCTCGTCTTTCCCCGAGAGCAGCTGGTGGTTTTGAACTGCGGACTTGAAGTGAGACGTCACTACACCAAGAGTGCGCCTGATCAGGAGCGCCCTTTGGCACCAGGCCCTGCTGATTCCACAGCCTGCCCTGCTGTCGGGGAAAGAACACATGGTCCCTATGCGCCTAATTTTAAAGGATTTAGAAGCAAGTGAGAGTGCAGATCCTTGGGACCGACGTAGGAAACGTGCTATTGGTTGAGGAACATCTTCTAAGCCCAGGACTGCCTGTATAGGAGTGCCAATGGGGCTCCAGGCTCTTCCCCAGCACTGCAAGGAAACCAAAGGCCTGCCACCTGCCAGGGCCCACAGCTTCACAATTCTTACATCATTTTAAACAAAGGCAACCTTTTGTAAGGCCAAACTCCCTTTTCATTGCTTCAAGCGCAACATTTCCCAGTCTCCTCCTTGACCCTGCATTATGTTCCACACACGCTTTATCAGCCAGGGCATTGAGCCAGACAGGCCAGAGCCCTGATTCCGGAGTAAAATCAAGCGTCACAGACCCACCAACCCTCTAGATCCCACGTTGATTTTCCTTCGATCTATACTTCTCTGAAACATGGTCTGGGTCACAGAGCCAGAGTCTGGGCTTCGTTTCCTCCTGGGCATGAACCTTACTTTGCCAAAGAGAGCATAACTCTTGAAGATCAAGGACCATTGCTTCCAGTTCTTTCTATTCGCCACCATCTTTCCCAAGAGTCCCACCCCCACCCCAACCCCGGTAGAGGAAGGGCTCTGTGAGACTGACTCATGGCCGCCCTGCACTAGATCCCACACGGAGCCTGACACATTTCAAGGGGCTGTGGAGAGAAACAGTTTGACCATTCTCAAAATGTTGAACACCAAACTCTCTTATGAACCAATGATCCCACTCTTAGGTGAGTCAAAAATGCATTGCTATGGGAGTTCCATGTCATACATGCACTGATTTGTTCTAAACAACGCTTGTTTAAGCATGTCTCTGTGATTAGGGGGTGGGGGGGGGGCTGCAAACACGTTCTCTCAGTCATATAGTTGTCTTCATCTTGTTATTTTCCCTTCAAAAAACAAAGTCCAATCAAAACAATGGCCCTTGAAGGGGTACGCTGGGTGAGACAAATTCAAGACCGAGATCAGCATAAAAGGTTATTGTGGTGATTGGGGGGTGGGGGGTGGGGGGTGTTTGCAATGACTACTTTTGGTGGCTCCAAAGAGGGAATCTGGATAGATTTTCTGAAAGGACACAGGACACTTTTTAAGACTTTGAAATTGCATTAGTGAGAAAGAGGCCAGGAAAGGTGCAGCAAGGGATTTTTCCGTCCCTGCTTCCAGCCGAAGGCAGCCAGAGGTCAGACGTGTAAACATTTTATCAAGAAAGGAGCCTCTTGATAACTCAGCCTCTTAGAATGAGCATTATTGAAAGTTTTGCCCTATCTCCAACTCTCATTTTTTATATAGTGTCCACTAACTTAAGTTTTCATCTGTACATGTCAACATTCCATGTATTTTAGTCTTAAAAACTGTCCTATATCTGTATCTTTTCTTTTCTCAACAACATTATTTTCTTATCGTTGGATAAATAAATGATACTATTGATAGAATTGCCCTATGCCCATGGGGATAACTTATAATGTTCACCAATAAAATAATCAGGATGTCTCCAAAGTGAGCCAGGGACATGTGTAAACCATAGATATAGGAATGGATTTTGGGCTCCCACTTAATTAGGGTCATGATCTAAAAAAATGAGCTCTTATGATGTGGCCATCTCAAAAAAAAGAGATCACTAAATAAATGGGTGCCATAGCAGAGTGTGGTAAAGAAAGCAGATGGTGCCCAGCTCTGAGAAAGAATCGCGTCTGAGTTCTTAAAGGGTTATCTTAAAACAAGCAACAATGTATGAGGTGTCAGCTAACAGCATATGGAAGAAGCACACCAGCTTGTTTGATCTAAAGATTGTAAATAATAAAATCCAAGGCCAGGGTGGGAGCAGCATCTGAGTTTAAATTCTGAGCACCCTGTTTGCAGAAGACTATGAATAACAGTGAAAGCCCAACATTCATTTGCAAAGTCCCCACATTAAACCCCTGGTAAATCCCCTGGGACCAGAGACCAGGGATGTGAATGGCCATAGATGCAGTTAGGGTGCAATGTTTGACTCATTTTAAATTTGTTCTACTTGTTAATAGTTTATGCTTTCTTTGCAATTGCGGTTTTTCTCTGTTCTATTCTGGCATTGTTGCGGTGATTTCTGTGTTTGGGTTTGCATGTTTTTCTGCATATGAAATCCAAGAAAAGTAATTCTATAGCGTAGTGACTGGATTAATAGTTTCTTAGGGTTATGGTAGGGGAGGTTGGGGGAAGTGGGAAGCTAATAAGAATGAGTACAGAAAGAGCAAAGCATCCTAAAGTTGAATGTGGTGATGATGGTACAACTCTTTTTAAAATGATTAAAGCATCGGACTGTATAATATGTGAATTACTTGTCCATAAAACAGTTAAAAATAATTACTAGAGACAATGAGGGACATTTTTAAAAATGTCCAACATAGATACAAGTGGAAAAATATAAGTTTGTGGGGGGAAATTTCATTATCTTTCCATTTTTAATTCTGTTTTTCTAGACCTTTTAAAAGGTGCCTTGGGTAGCATGATGAGTATATATATGTGCAGTTAACGTAGAACTCTGCAGAATGATTTGTGTAGAAATTGTCCAATGGGAACCTAATGTTCAGTGAACATTCACTAAAAACACAATAAAACATTGAAACCCAAAAAGGAGGGAGTGAGGGTGTGGGTGGGAGGGAAAGGCCCCTCCTCAGGAGCTCCATCCTGGCGGGACCTCCAGCTGCCCACCTCACACGCAGTAGGGAGGGACAGGTTTCTGTCTTTCCTCCCCGACTGGCTGTGAGCATGCGGGTGGAATGGGTCTGGGCTTCTTTCTCTACGTTTGTGCCTTCTCTGGAAGTTCCAGGCACCTAGACAGTTTGCGGGAAATAATTTCTGGATGAGTGAACAAGGAGCACACCTCCTCACGGGAAAACGTTCACATGCTGTTGAGGGAAGGAGAGATCCTCCATCCCGGGATCAGAAGAGGGGGACTTTCTAGAGTCGCTCAGAGATGGCTGGGGTACGTTCCAGTTTGGTGGAGGACATGGTGTGGAAGCACGCCGTGGTCCCCGCGCCCCTGGTTCAAGGCATATGTCCTTCGTTTCTTGCAGAGTCACTTCGTGGCATGCATGACCGCCATCCTACACCAGATGGGGGACCAGCACTACTCCTCCTACATTCAGACCTTCCAGACCAGCTCTGAGCTTGTGGTGAGTCTACAGGGTCCTGCGGGCGGGCTGGGGAGGACAGGGTGCACTCTGGGATCTCAGGAGTGTCCGGCAAGGCGGGCCTTAACAGCTTCCCATAAGAACTTGTGTATGTGGTGTCAGCATTCATAAACATGCCAGCCTAGCGCTTGAATTCTCACTGCCCTCTGGACTTGTGGATTTCACTTGTAGACCCCATCGTCAAGTCCACATCAGAGACAGACTTAAATGTCTAGAATACAATCCAGATGCCGCTCAACAAATATGTGCTATTGAATCGTGGGCATCTGGGGACCGACGAGCCTGAGTGCTGGCATCGTGCAGTCCTGTATTTGGATCAGGATTTGTCATGAGCCAGCTGAATGGCCCTGGTGGGGCAGAGGGTTCCGTGTTGGGCTGCTAACCACAAAGTCAGCAGTTCAAAACCACCTCAGGTGAAAGAGGACACTTTCCACTCGTATAAAGAGTTCTAGTCTCAGAAATCCACAGGGGAAGTTCTACTCTGACCTCCAGGGTCTTGATGAGTTGGAGTCCACTCAACGGCAGTGAGTTGGGTGGTGGTTTTGTTTGTTTGTTTGTTTGTTTGTTTGTAGCAAATTCATCTCTCTGAAACCTCAGTGTCCCCATCTGTACAGTAGGGATGGTGTCATGAGTGGTTAGGGGTGAAATGAAAGCAGAGCCTGTCATGTTGAATTTAGTGCCCTGGAAAAGATGCCTACCATATAGGTAGAGATACATAAAACACAATAGGCTCATATGCTACAGTACAAGTGCAGTACAATACAGAAGAGTGAGGAAGTTAGGTATCAGATGGGGAAGCTGACCCACAGGGGCACCGATTCGTCTAGCTTCTGAGGACTGTTGTCTACGTCATACATCAGCCGCAGGT